TATATATATATATATTTCGTAACTTTCTTTATCGTATTAATGTAATAAAACTTTCGGTGTTGATAAAATTTTTTATTTAAAATACATTGAAAAATAAACTTACCGAAAGATGCCTCCCATCCTGGAATCCTGATATAGAACAAGCATCGAAATGTCAGCATCGGGATATCAGCATCGTGATGTCAGCATCCTAATGTCAGTATCGTGATATCGGCAGCGGGATTTTAGTTTTGCGATATCAGCATCGTAATATTAGAAACCTGTTAAACACAAATTATGCATGTAAATTACGTTATGTATCCACTACACAATAGCTATAACAAACATTGCTTTGAAAGAACAGCGATAATTGTCTATTTACTCGGGCAAACTCTTTTTAAACTTTTTTTAAAGTTTATTAAATTAAATATAATAACATTTCTTGGTAAAGAGAATACAAAAAAATATTGATTTCAATAATATTTACGTAATTAATTATAAAATAACAGCATGTATATACCTGGCAATAATTGTGTACCATCATAAATTTTCAAACTTTACATTTTAATGAAAAAAAAAACCGGCACGAAATATATTATATAAAGAAGATTACGATTGTGTACGATTTCGCGGACACACAGATAAGCACATATTGTCGATATCAAAATATTGCGATACTGGCATATAAAAGCGATTATGACAAATATCTGATACTTTACGAGAATTCTTCGCGCGCGAAATTCGTCTGTAAACAGTAATAACCGCAAAAAAAATATGTCGCGACACGTTCCATGACCGACCGCGATTCGAAATATCAGATTACTATTTTCGAAACGATAAATAACGATTGTACATATGATACACAGAAAGAACACTTTATTCGCGATATTTTCGATAATTCTTCGCATGCCGCACTCACTTTTAAACGGTAATAATCGCGAGAAGTATACGAAGCGATCTGAAAATGACCTCGCAATCCACCACCGAGTCACGATTGATCGCGAAATTTACTAGGCAAAGAGCGCTGTTGCGATTCTCGAAATATGGAAACTATCGAAGTATCGAAACCGCCACACTTCACCGCAATATAACTGGCAATAATTATTTAGCGTAAAAATATAAAACATTCGAAATATTTTAGTAAATGTTGAAAATGATCGAAATATGAATTTACTGCAATATACTTTACTTAAAACTTGCCCCAATATTAAAAACAATATATAAAATCTCAAAACACACACACACACACACACACACACGATGCGATATAGAGGTAAAAAATCTTGAAATGTGATAAAAACATGATATAAAAACAAGAAATAGATGAAAAAAATTCGTAAACACAAAAGAAAACAACTCAGATATGAGATATCAGATATTATCTTGTCCATAAAATTGATTTTTATCAAAAAGCAAGATTATATAGTTAGAGGTTTATAGATCATATATCAAGCAAAGTTGCACTTTTCAAAAATGCTGTTTAATAATCGATATCATAATATTCTTTTCTGGATATGATAAAAACACTTGTAAATTATAAAATGCTTTATTATAAATACCTTTAATTTAGACAGAAACAAGAACTTATGCACTTGAGAATTATACATATATCAGCGTACGCGTGAAATTCAATTACATCCAACTAGGGATTCTACGACAAAGGATCATGTTACGCCATCTGTAAAATCAATCTTGCACGATATCCCAGAGTTATCGCGAAAGTGATATAGCAGTAATTCTTCTCAAATATGGCTTTAAATATGCGGTGAGTTTAATTATTTTCGGCTTTTTATTAATCTTCATATGATGAAGGATTTATCGCAGGCATACAGAAATCGTCTGTTCGTGTCATTTACAATTAGCATAGTAATTTCGCTGAGTTTTTTAAGTCTGATTTCGTGGATTCCGGTTGTTGGTTGATATCGTCTACGTGTCTCTTTGCCCGCAATATCTTATTTACGATATAAATACTTTTTTTCAATGTGCATTTATCGTGCCGGGTCCGCTGTGGATCTAATCTAATCTGTCGTTCAAACGAATATGATATTGTTACTTATTTGCGATGGAAGTTCACAGTTTTACGTCATTACTGCTACATAATCTGTTGCGCGGCCGCGTTTCCGGCAGTATTTCATCTCAAATTGTTGTACAATCTAATATAAAATAGTACATACAATGTAATACTCGCCGATAAACATAATTTATTTTTACTATAATATCTATGATTTATGTAAAGTACATTGTATTATATCTTAGCAAGTATCTAATTTATTTTGTGCTTTAAACCTTTCAGGTTAACTCCATTTTTGATATTACTATATTCTCTATTTCTTGTCGATGCAGTTAATAGAGACAACTTCAAAAGATGCGATCAAAACAGCTTCTGCCGGTAAGAATTAGCCATTTTTGCAAATATTGTCATTTTAGAGACAGATATAAAGTTTGTTTTCTTATAGACGGTGCAGGAAAGTAGAGCCTGGAAAAACACCATATCAGCTTTTACCAGATACATTTATACAGAATGAATCTATGATTACTATAGATCTATTTAATAAAGATACAGGTGTCTCCTATGTGGTACAATTTACCTCATTGAAAGAGAGCACGTTTAGGTTATACATCAATGAAAAGAACCCATTGCATCCCAGATATGAAAATGAATATGCTCTTCAAGATCAGCCACAAAAAACAAAATTGGATTCTGTGGAAAAAACGACTGAAAGTATAACCGTAATAAAGGGCGAAAACAAAGCTATCTTATATGTTAATCCGTTTAAAATAAATCTATACTCCCAAGGTGTTTTAACAATATCAGCAAATGCTCGTGGTCTTATGAGATTTGAGCATTTACGTACCAAACCAGTAAGGTATTTATTGCTAGAGGACAATTATTACACTGAAAGCTTTTATGTAGAATTATATAATAGTGATAAACTATATATATGTATATTGTTTTATTCTGTTATAGACCAGAACAAGGTGAAAATGCTGAAGGTGCAGAAATAAATAATACCACATATCCTGGTGATGGTGCTGATAGTGATCCTGGTGCTTGGGAAG